GATATCCATGTCCGCTCGGTCAGGCTCCGATCGGAGATTTTTTATTCGAGTTCGCGGCAAACGACCGGAGCAAATCGTGCGTCTCGACGGTGCTCGACGTCGTCGTTAGGAGAGAGAGAGAAAAAAAGGAGGAAGACAGGAAGAGCTCCGCTGCCATAAGGCCGTCGGGAAGTAGAGCTCTCGAGGAGTAGATCCAGAGCAAAGAGTGCGAAGGACTCGCAGACGACGACGGACGTCAGGATGCGAACAAAGCGACGTCGAGGACTCGACGTACAATAGATAAGTACGCCATTATGGTATCGAGGGCGTTATCTTAATGGAGACGGTAGTATCGGATGAATGGAACCTCCATCTACCTCTCTCCGAGTCTGACTCTTCGACCTCTCCTCTCTCCTTCTCTTCCTCTCCCCCTTTGTATCAACTCTCTGACCGACTACGACTCCCTTAATTGGATAACGTGCCCCTCACAAGGGAATGGCGACTGTCGTACCGTCCATGGAACAATGCTATTGGCTCTGACTAATTTCACTTTTCTCTCTGTGCCACCCTCCTCTCTTTTCGCATTTAATCGACACGATAACTGACACGGGTCGCGCCATGCGACACCTCGATTAATCGAGTCGGACCAAAGTTAAGCATTTCATGCCCCATTTTTTCAGTAGCATGCTTTGCACCCTTTCTATTCCTCCAAGGAAAAAAAAAAATATATATGCATTTATACATGTAGAATTTGTCTTTTAACTCGTTACCGCAAGGATCGGGGGGAAGCCTCAAGGAGTCGCGCGTTCCTTTGCTTACTTACTTGCAAATTGCTTCCCTCCCTCCCGCCACGATATTTTCCCTTTCCGTGGCGGCGTCATTTTGATTCCCAAGATGTCGGCCCGATAAAGGGGTGAGAAGGAGAAAAAGCAACGACGTAGAAGAAAGGCCGGGAAACGCAACCCGACTACGTCGCGCGAAACGTTCTCCAGGGGTGCCCCTTTACGTTGCGGCCGTCTACGTGGAAACATTTGCGATTCCCGCGAACGGAAAACGGCTTCGATTAATTTCGCCCTCGGGATTCTACTAGAATCTCTCCTGAGAGTGCCGGCGAAACGTAGAGAGAAATCGATACGACCCTTTTCAAGGGAGAGAGAGAAAAGCGGAGAGGGGCGCGGAGACGGCGAAAGAGAGGCAACCCATTTATTCGGAAAAGAAAGCAAACGGAATTAACTATTTCTTCCTTTCTGTTTTTATACGGAAGTGGTTGAAATAATTACTGGAAAAGCGGTTATAACGTTTTTCCTTGCGATTCCCACGTTTAATAAAATCCCGATTTTCCTCTCGCAATCCGCGGATCGTTATCTGGGGTTATCTTCAAGGTACCGCTCTTGGGAAAATTTTCTTTTCACGCATTAACGAAACGTCAGTGCTCCAGAATTTTTTTTTTTTAACACAATTCGAAAACCCGTGCTCGTTAAAACGTTCGTTTGCAAAATCATGAGAATTATTGTCACCCGATCGAAGGAGCGCTTTCCAGATATTAGAAGGCGAAAATCTTGGGGGCTAAACGGAAATCGATTCGACGTCGTCGAACTACTCGATCGCTCGAAACGACCCCGTTGTGTATTGCGTCGATCCGCGTCGCGACGCCAGGCGTCTGAATTCGACAGATCGTCGAGACTCCTGAATCAGCGATTAAGGCGACGTAAGGACAAGCCTTATCGAGGAGAACTCTTATCGGATTTGCGGTTCGTCGAGTGGAGCCGCCGCAATGGCACCGGAACCAGGAACCGGGAGGAACACTCTAGTGTCCCTTCGGGAACACCCGGGAGCCTTAAAACGCGTTCTCGCCCGACGATTAGCCACCCGAGGACGGATAAGCGCTTCATTCGGGACGGAACCAGAGGACCCCCTCTCGAGCTTCCACTTCCGCTAATTTAACGAAGTGGAGATAAGGACTGATACCAACGAGCCCCACGCATGAGAGCGAACCCTTTAGCCAAGTGTCAAAAGTCGAGTGGGCTTTAACGCCGAGACTGGATTTCTGCAAATTCAGGAATCCGATTAAGCCCTCGACCGCTGATCAACGTTTATAAAGGATTGCCTCTAAAGGTCCCTTCGATTGGGAAAAAGGAAAAATCGATCGAACATCGGTCTGATTTTTCTTCATGATTAAATCTCGAGTTTCGGGAACGGGCATTTCAAATCTGGGTATTTAGAATCTCTCGTTAATTCGTGGACGAGGTTAGGTTCCTTCCGAAAATGGGGTCCCCGTTGCAACGGAAAATCGACGTTATCGCTCCTACAATCGCGGCTCTCATTTTGCAAAATCACCGCCGCGCCGTGGGGGACTTTTTTCCCCTATCCGAGGCCGGAGTCGAGGTTATGTAAAACCGATTTGTTAGATTTGCGAAAGTCTTTCGCCGATGGCTACACGCTTCGGAGGTGCTCCGTCATTTTCAGCGCAACGGTACCATTCATCTTTCGAATAACGCATCGGCGTCGGTGCTCCGTCATTTTCCTCGGTGAAACTTTAAGATGCACATTTTCCTGGCTCGCGTCAACCCCCGCTCGATGCCCCGAAATGAGCAAGGCTGCGGCATATCGAGAATTTAATATCGGTATTCGATATCGGTAATAAATTTCATATTTCTCACTCGTATCGGAGAGTTTTAAAGAATAGGAAAATATCCAGGAGTATCCAGAGATAGAAAAATACCGGCCCCAAATATTGAACGGCTCGAGTATTGCGTTAATATTTGGGACACGGTTGATAATTAAATCCTGGATAATTTATTACGTAGGTCCGTGAGGTCATGAAGCAAATGTACTTGCCGGAATGTTTTCCGCTGACAATATTAAACGGTAAACTAAACCGAACGTATATCGCGTTTGCGCGTTTATATGATAATACATTCAAATGTATTCTTAGTGACGGCGGCATTATGCATCACCCCTTGCAAGCAGATACTGATATAATACGTATTTAATGTACGATAGAGTACGTCTAACGTGAGTATAATGATTATATATTAAACGTATATTACTCGAGAGATGGATTTAATGTTAAAGTAATGTACAGTAAACACGCGTTACTCCCGGGTACGTTAGAAAATTTAACTGCCCGCGATTAATGACATGTCTCAATTTTCGAACGTGTAATATTTTATAATAAATTCATTTCAAATTCTCCATTAACCGCGAAATAACATAACCTAGATTCCCTCCCTACTCTCCGCATCATGCGCGATGTATCGAAATTTACCGACTGGCATTAAAATCCCCACGTTATTTCATGAAATGTCAACAACGATCCACATGCAAAATTAAAGGGAAATGTCCTGCGAGGATAATCGAGCAAACGCCTCTTCCGACGATCGGCCATGAATCTTCGCGACCTAAATGGCGCGGATCCTCCGATGATATACGATGGTTAAAAAAAGAAAAAAAAAAGAAGAAGAAAAGAAATGATCTTAATTCTGATAATTGGAGGCCGGGCCGGTGGCAATGGATTCCTGGAGGGAGTCCGGTCGGGGTCGAATCGATTATCGGCGCGGAGATTCCTCTAAATAAAGCGAAAGGGATTTAAAAACAGAAGAAAGGAGCCGAGGGCGGGGTCGGATCTTCGGGATGAAAACGCGGCGGGTCGTTAGCGTAATCGTCCTCTTCCCGGGCTGGTTGAGGGAGCCGGCGCGGGGCGATCCAATTAGCTACCATTAATAAGGATCCGGCCTGCAGCGGGATAATGGTACCTCCTTGGCGCGCCACAGCTGCACCTGCACCTGTTGTGCTGTGGCCTGCTGAACGGATAAATAGGATTGCGTCGCGGCGTCGCATCCGCGGAACGTTATTAATTCTGACCCTCGTAAATTGGCCGTGTGCTTTACAACGGAGGTCTCAGCCCCCCCGTCCGGAAGTTCCGTTGCTCCAATTTCGGCGGAATTGTCCGCGCACTGACGGGCACGGTCAATTTCGATGGAAAATTCGGCCTTCGGTTTTCGGCGTTTCATTTCAATAGCGTTGTATAAAATCGCTTTATTTACCGAGAGAGCCCTGCATCCCACGGGGGGTGATTTAACGCCGATCCGGACACGCTCGATCTTAAACGCGTAAATAATAACCGCGACTCGGTACGAATGAAATGAACTTTCCGGAAGCGCGGATTTTCCGAGGCTTTAATCCCCGCGTCCGGAAGAACCGCGATGTAAGTGGGGAGGGTGGCGGTAACGCTGCACTTTCGCGCAAGTGAAAATAATGGTCATCTGCCGAGCTACCTCGGCGGTCTTCGCAGTCCTCCCAGGCTTACACCTGTTGTGGTCCGGAGAGGACAAATAGGATTGCGTTCCGACCCCGCGTCCCTGGAACGTTATTAATCCTGACTCTCGCAAATTGGCCGTGCTCTTCATAGCGGAGAGAGAGAGCCGAGCTTTCGGCGAAGGACTCTCGTTGGTCTAATTACGCGACAAAACCGGCCAAATGGCGATTTTCGATAAAACATCCGCACGTTGATACCAGAAAGCCCGTTACGGTGACGTACCTCGTCGGGGGGCGAAATGGAATTAAAGCTCATCGATCCGATCGCTCATCCGGGGTCCTCGAGGAGTACCAAAGGAGAGCGTCGTTGAATATTTCACCAAATTCTCCCGGGCGAGGAGGCTCCCCTCCTGTTACGGGGATATCCCGTCGATCGCGGAATATCCGCAGAGTTTGCAAAGTATCGCGATTTCATAGCACAACCGTCGGCCGGAAATGAAAGATTCAACGAGCCGAAGTAATTCGGGAAAGCTGCGGCACCGAGGGACAAAATGGAAATCAATGGAGTACGGGTCTTCTCCAAAAGGCTAAAGGACCTAGCGCGAGCCCTACTTTCCAGAACTTTGCATAAGCCATGCCCCGTGTTAAGATAGACAAGTCGGAAGTACATGCGTAACTCCGATCGGTCCGGTATGAGCGATAAGGAGAAAATCGCCGATCACCATGAAACCCTTTCTCTCCTAAATCGTGTGATCCTGTTTCAGGAGGAGTGCGCGGCGATGCTGCAGGATCTCAGCGAGAAGATCAACAATCGCCACCAGGAGGTGCACACGCACCCTTTACTGTCGATTTTCAAGATGGCGGAGGTAGAGGTTAAGTTGCCGTACAGCGGCGCTGCGGTCGGGCCGACCACGTCGGAGGGTCTGTTCGCGCTAACTCTGTTAGCGAGCCTGTTGGCACTTTGCGGTGAGGTCGTCCACGTAGCACCCCGGAGGTCGAGGTCGAGGTCTAGGTCGAGATCGAGGTCGAGCCTTGGCGACCTCGCCTCGTGACAGGATCAAACGTCGCGCGAGTCGGAGTGATCTCGAAGAGGTCGACCTCCGACTCGCGTCGTGCTGTACATCCTTGAACGGAATATATCATTCCGGACGAGTGCGTGGCCTTAGAGGCTCGGAGTGTCTGAGAGATTAGAATGAGAGAGCGAATGACCGCCAGATAGGGAGAAACAGGGAGAGAAAGAGACGCGAGGGAGCTTTAAGTCCTCTTGAGTTCCGTGCTTTGACCTAGCGAATGCGACTCTTGACCACTCGAGGTCTTGACAATTATGTACAGGTGTACCAAAACGCGCCAGCGCTTCCAGGTGGTGAGGTCGAGGCATCCAAGACCGACATTTTTGGACCTTATCCAAACTGAGATTTAAAAGCAGTAAGAAAATTCAAGGGGGTATTCACTGAGGAAATCGTGGATTTCAACGAGATATCAATGGATATCGTTAGGAATCACCAAAGAGCTGTCACTATTTTAAGGCCTAGCGTCCCTTGTTATAGAATCGCATTGCTGTCTATCGTATGAAATCAATGGCAATCGGCTCTCAAAGAAGGAGATCGTTTATTTATACATTTTTTTATCGACCGAGGTGATATTCGGCGGGTTAACCTTATCGCCGTTGCTCCCGCTGTCGCATTTGTTGCAGCCGCCCTCGTGGGTGATCCATTTCTGGGACGGGTCAGCGAATTAGCGGAGGTGGTTTTTAAATATTTATTGCTTTCCCTCGGCTGGAAAGCCACGGCCTTGCCATCTGTCCCGCGAGAATACAATTTTCTAATGCTTTGTCTCCTCTGCATGTCGGGGCTCGTGTTGCGTTCTCGAGAAGAGGACGCGGTACGACGGAATTACAGGAATTTTCAGGATGGAATCGACCGTCGTTGGATGAAAACTTTCGAATTTTCCGGATCACGTGAATTCGATTCCCTTCGGCACACTTGCCCACTAATGAGTATTACCGCGGCGGGAATCGACGAGGGTCATATCATTTTTTTTAGGTATTTTTCAAGGAACGGAGGAACACCTGAAAAACCCACCAAACGCAGGGAAACGACTTTACTTATCTCTGCACAATTATTATTCCATTAGTCTGGGTCGTGTATAGATAGACTAAGAAACGCATAAATTTCTGTACCGACAATTATATATTTTTTTCCCATTTTCGTTGGATCGATCTAAAAAGATTATGCACCGTCAGAGGCGATACGTGTTCCGACGAATTCAAAACGGAATGTTACGAGCATTTCACTCCTTTGCAAAAATTCGGAAGACTCGACGAACGATTAACGCGATTTTCCGAGGAAGGAAACGGGAATCGTTCTCTGGAGGGTAAATATTTCCCTACACGCGGAAATGATAAATCTTCCGACCACGGGGGAAGGGCTCGAAGAATTTTGAAAAATTCTCTTTCCGTAAACTACGTGCACAGCAGCCTGAGTTCAAGCTCGGTTATCGATGACTTAACTTTCGCGGAAGTTTATCACTGGACTTTTCAGGCGAACTCGACAGAATATCAAGTACTCATTGGTCGATTCCTCGAATTTACGTGGAAACTTATTCGTATTACGATTAGTGTATACGATCGAAGTCTTGAATTCACGGGAGGTGTAAGTTAGTAGTGCGATTCGTTAAACGAGGCATCCGTGTGCTTGCATCCATGTCATGCATTATCGCTGAAAAAAAATGGGACAGATGGGAAGAAAAACGGAAGCACTGTACATGCGAGGACACAAAACGCGAACACCCCCGAAAATCGAAATCGACGCAAAGAGACTATTACACGCGTAACGATGCACGCACATATACATGCTTACCGGTATAAATATGTATATACGTATGTTATATATGCTTAGTTGATTGGCCGACCCAGTCGGATTATACAGAGATTATTCGGAATGGTTGATAAAGGGTGGGGGTCGTGAATGGGGCGCGAATCGACGATTTACAGGGATCTCAAATTGGCCATCAAAAGTCGTAACTAGAGACACGTTGATCGTATCTAAACGCAGGACGAGTTATGGATTCTGCCGTTAAATAACCGCAAACGATACCATTTGCTCCTTATTCCATTAATTCCTGCTATAAATTCCGGTTTATATCAGAGGTGATTTATTTTCGCCGCGGAATCGAAGTCGAAACGATTTGGCAGGAACTCAATGGATCTCCAATGGTCCGCTTCGATATTTCTTGCAGCGTCCCAAAACGCGACGCTTTCGCGGCATTTATTCCTAATTTTGTATATCCTCCAGCCGGGGTATTACCATAGAAATGTTTGATTTGCATATCGAGATTGACGGCAACATGCTGACAGTTCCTGTTTCGCGAGGTGCGAGGACTATTGGCTTTAGGATAAATTTTCTGCTGACGGTGACGACTCTTGGGGGCTCGCGCAGGATCAGCAGGCGTCAGCTGCATTGCACGCGACGTACAAAACTGAAACGCTTTTAAAATTTCAGAATAACATTGAGAGCTCTTTGTGCATCAGTCGATGCCACCAGCGTCCCGCCGTTGTTTGTTTTACCCGACTATCGTAATCTAAGGTATTGCGAGTATCGACATGGATGGGAATTTATTACCGAGTTTCTGCGGAGGTATTGACTACCCCAACGATCACCTGTAAAATATACCGAGCTCCGACCAACGAATGTAAATTACCGGGCTCGATGGTATCGAGAAAATAAAATACCAAACGGAGACTACGTCGACTGACTTTTGCAAAAACATCCGTGCAATAAAGAAATACAAGCTGATCGACGAGGTTGCGAAATATTTGAATTTTTTTTACTAATTCTGCTCGAAGGGGGGTTTAACGCGACATCTCGATTAAAGCTCCCTAATTCCGTTTCACGGGTGGATGATCGGACGGAGGGGCTCGGAAAAAGTCGGAACGTACAGGATCCTAGAACGAAACGGAACGTGTCCGGGAAAATAACCAGAATCGGCTATTTTCCCGGACAACCACGTAATCGGACATTCGGACCGACGAGCGAACGGACGATTCGAATAAACTCTGGGAGGTCGTCGACGGACGTTTATCTAGGCCTCTTAGTAAAAGCGATTATTTCCCCGGAAAAGCCTGCCATTGGCTCTGACGAAAGCTCTGGACAAACGAATGCTAATGTCAAAAATATCCACATGAAATACCGGCCAAGAAGCGTTCGGACAGCGATCTCGAGTTTGAAGTTATTCGCGTAACGAGTGCTCATCGGTACTCATATGTCAGGCTTAAGTCGGGTTAAACCATATTTGTACACGCACTCTCTGTACACGTGGAGTGCCAACGCGGATGTACACGTGGACGCGTGGTTCGCGGTGATCAAACATCGGTCAAGCCGCTTAATTGCGTTCATTACTCAATTACGCGGTGCACATTGTTGCCTAGGCAAATATTAAAAACGAACCCTAGACGAGCCGGGATAAAAGGATGCGTGTAAACGATAAGTTTAATTGACAGGACTAATAGAACGAAGTAAACCAAGTGACCGCAGGAAAAACGGTGAACGAGGTGAGATGAATCCGTTGACAAAATAAACCTAATTCATCCAACGATTTATCTGCTTACTCTGAAAATCTCGCTAAATTTTCGTAAATCAACGTTATCGAACAAGGGCATAACCCGCTAATTTGGAATTAGTTCCCGCAGCTGTGCAAGTAACCCGACCTCGCCAAAATTGTCATCGGAATCCTCGCATTGAATTTTCATGGCATTCATCGAGTATGCCGGCACTCAGGCAATATTAACCCTTTCGCTGGCATGGAACTGGCCGCATACGCCCTCGTTAAATGGGAGTTCATACCGTAAACGTACATTTATAGCGCAGACAATGTCCGACATTTTGAATACGTCACATCTCGCCTTAGATAGTTGTAAAGAGACCCAAGCTAAACGTACGCGTTCCATAAAGATGTTGCCCATCTAAAAATCATCGATAATCATCGGATGAACATTTCTTTCGATTTGTCCACTTTGCTACATGTCTCATTCGCACGTATTCGTCTACGACAACGAAAGGGTTAAACAAAGCACACTCGAAAGTTGAAAAAGACGCGAAAGAGAGCTTCAGCGAACGAATTCGCCGCTTGTTATCGAGTGGCTGATAAAACAATCGTTGGGAGCACCTCCAATGAGAAGGTAGTAAAAACTCGGATACGTGTTGTCTTCTCTATTTGTTTTTCGCATCGATCGAGATACATAAGCTGCCTCGACGATACTTCACCCGATGATAGGTGCTCCAAGTGTCTGGCCGCCATATTGAATCTTCTAGAGGATATGATTAGCCGTTTCTATTATGGAATTGTGCGTCACTGAGGTGGAATTTTGGAACAAACCCGGGTGCAACGAGCTCCCTCAATGGCCGAACAGCGTTCGGCTCGACGGATCGATCTCTTACAGATCGTTATCGATCTCTCGTGGTCCTCGAATCGTCGCGAGTCAAGGGTCGATTTCCCGGGGTCTTAATTACATGCACTTGACCCAATTACAGCCGACTGGTTTCAGCCCTAATGACTTTCCTCGTATGTCACGATCCCCGCGGTGAATTTCGTGCGAGGACGGAAAAGGATAAATTTCCATAGCTTCGATTAAATCCGAATTAACGAAAATAACTCCCGCGCGGAGTACTAACGGAGAGAATTTCCAATTAAGAGCGATTATTTCGTTTCGGATGAGCTGCCAGACTCCGGGATTTTAAACGTTCATTGACAGTTATAAATCGAGCTGCTCGATTAATATTAATACCAGACGTGACGAGATACATTTTATTCGGTCAATTGAATTTAATTCGGCCTAATCTCTGGAGTTTACTCGCGTCGATTGAATGGTTTTGTTGTTGGGGTGCAACGGAATTGATTATTTATCGAATTAATTTCGATCGATACGGCTCGGCTGGATTGCGTTACACTTTACGTTAATTAAATGCTTTCCTAATTGCACCGACCAAGTTCCGCCGATTGACTCCAATGGAATTAACTTGATTTCGTGGAATCCGGTTTTTGTCTTCTCGGTTTCGCAACAACCTCGAATTTCCTCGAAAAGTGAAGTCTCTCTCTCTCGACTCATGAATACTATATTACTGTACAGGACACAAAGGGCTGTCATGGAAATAGCAACTAATTAACACGAAGCTTGCGAGCACGTTTACATAAAACCGCCTTCCCTTGCGAAATTAGGAAGTAAAGGAATAGGAGACTTTTCACTTCCCTCTATGAAAGATTGTCGTTACGTTGAGAATAATAAGGCTTACAGGCGCCGTGTTGTCGCAAAAGTAGCCGAATAACAATGAACGTCTTAATCAAATATTTCAGCTTAGACTTCGTTTCTGTACGTTGGTACTTTTTCGCCGTGGATAAAGATAAACGTATTAAAGACATGTAAATGTCACAGCTCTACTGTAATTACTGAATTACGGACGAAAAAAAAAAAAAAGTTCTTAAAGGATTGACACCCATTATGAAATATAAGAGGACAGGTTCACTTTTTAAACGGATCTGAACGCCGTTGCACTTATATTGTTATACGGTCAACTTTCGTTCTGACCATACGTTAAATTTACTACTGTACAATTTTTTCGACGTGATTAATTCAGGTGAAAAATTTTACCGTCGTGTTGGGGGAATGTAATCGTTTCCAAACGTGTGTTGCATAGTCTCGAAAAATGTTGAAATGATTTTCGAAAACGAGAGAGATCTATCTCAATTGAAGTCTGAATAATTCTTTGTTACATTGTAGTAAATAAGCGATGTATGAATAGTCCTCCTTAAATTAACGATTTTTTGAAAGTGCTAGTGTTTTTAACTTTTTCGAGTTTAGATGAAAGTCTCTGCCGTGTTGTGACAGAATGCTGAGTTACATATCAAATTTTATCACCTTTATTATATTATCGTTAATTCGTACAAAAGTCGTGATTACTGCGTCGACTATAAATCAACAATGTTACTTGATCTCAGATCATGTATAACCGAGTGAGCCAGGTTTTCGATTTATCTTCTGTCCAAAAAAATTATGGGAGCATAAACTTTCGTAGTAGGAATGACTGTTTCAAAATGTACCGCGCAAAATTTTAAAGTTAAAAAAAAATTAACCGGATACACTCATAGTTTATTTCCTACCCCACCCCACGTTTAGAAAATCAATTTCACTTTTTCATGGCGACTGAACCAGAATACGAGATCTAGTTATTTAAGGCCTAATAACGTTTT